GCATGACTGAGATATTTATACATTTTCTATTGACAATGGGGAATTGCAGGTGTTTGCCCTAGTGGTAGTTATCTCACCGACTCGAAGTAAAGCAAAGAATGCAAGGCCATATGCAGAAGAGAAGAGTAATTTTTCATAATAATTGCGGCAAACATGTTGCAAGAAGTCTATTATCTTGACTAATAGGGGAAATGTTTTTGGACTTCTTGAATCTTTCCTATGTTTAAGTTGTTTAAAGCCATTGAGCATTTTTTTTTTGATTATGAAAAATTGGCATGGGTCTGGGAAATTACCAAGTTTTATGTTGAAGCTTAAGCCTGTTAGGTAGGTTTTGGCTGTAGAGTATGATGTTCCCTTTGACGATAGGTAAGCGATATAGTTTATTATTTGGTCTACGGGAGGGGGCCACAGTCCTGTTAAGTTAATTTTTTTTTTCTAAATTTCGCGAAAAATCATACGCCACCCCCTTGCTTTTCTGGAACAATGCCTATTGGGCTGCACTTGATATTTGACATAAGGATATTCTTGAATGGCCCAGCTATTCTACCCAATTTTACCTCTTGATCAATTATTTCTTGCAGCTGCTGTGAATTTGTTTGTGCCGATTTCATGATTTTAGATTTTTGGAATTCCTGTATACCCGAATAGCAAATGTTGAAACCATATTGAAAACTATCGATTAATTCCTGAGGAATGTGTCGCAAGGGGTAGTCTTTTAGCATTGATTATAGAATGTTAACGTTAACTGGGTTGGGGCCAAGTCCTAGAAGCCTTGGGTGGTTTGGAGGGAGCCCTCTACCCTGAAATCTGCTTGGGGGCTGGCGGGGTTGTTCGGTTTGGGAAGAACGTAAGTACTCCGAGCGAAATTCCTGATTGTTTTGCCAGTGGCAGTTTATGAGTGGGTGATTATTGGAGCATTTAATGCAGTTGTGTTGATAAGTGCCGCATGTGCCTTTGTAATTGAAGTCGAAGCATTTTTGAGATTTAGATGTATAATTTGGTGCTTGCTGCAAAAGAGGGCTTTTGCCATGTTTCACATACAGAAGCCACAATTCTGTGTCGACAGACCCCCTGTCAAGAGTATGGTTTCTAGGGCGCTTAAGTCTGAACTGTATGCCGTAATTGAGCCAGTTTAGGTTTGATGATCGCTGTGCAGAAGTACGGATGATGTTAATGTATTTCAGAATTGGCTGAATGTGTTCAGGGTACTTTGTTAAGTAGATGCTACTGAATATGACAAATTTGTCCATGTTTCGATTGAAGTAATTTTGATTTCCTTATGCTTAGCCTTTAACACTAGCTCGCCAGCAGCAAATGCGAGCTGTTGCTGGGGCTCATCGCTTGGTTTGAGTGGTAATAGTTTGTGAAGGTGGATGAATACATTATCAAAAATATTTGTCTCAGGTTATCTGATGCATGCACACCCAATGCGTCTGAAATGCTATTTAATGAATTTGGTGTTGACGCATTTGAATTACGAGACATTGTATTAGTACATAGTGTACCTGCAGAAAACACTGTTGGTAATGCCTCTGATTCTGGGGGGCCAGGAATGTCTATTACTGATGAAGTTGTAGGCTGGTTCGATAAGGCTGGAGGGATGACCACAGGAGCTACCTTGACCGCTTGAGGCATGGTGCTTGCAGCAGGAGTGACCTGGACCGGCTGAGTCACAGTGCTTGTAGGCCTGGAGCCAGTCGAGGGTTTGGCCTTCCTGGCGGCAGCTTGTGCACGGCCTGGCCTGGCGTATGGCGATTTTGAAGCCCTTTTTGCGCGGAGCATATTTCTACAAAACAAACAACTGTGTAACTTGTGATTAACCTAGTCATTTTTTTATTTTTAATTAATCAATTAATTTTTTATTATTTTAATTATTTATCTTAATTTTTAATTATTTTTTTTCCTTTCTTTTAATTATTTTTTTTAAATGAGTTGCTTCAGACTGTGAATGATTAAACAGTTAACTGAATGTGAATAAACAAAGTGTACGTAATAAGAGTTTAGGCTTTTAAAATTCCGCCATTCAGTGATGGTGATGTTGATTATCGATGCAGTAAAATCAGCTATCATCTGAAGTGCTGAGGCATGGGAAACGCCCAGTTCGCTTCCCATGCTTCGTTAGGTGTTTAATACAAACCCATGACCTATGGAACGATACCTGTAAAATACAATAATCCTCTAATTTGGTTGAAATTTTGACCAAAATTTCTTGCGTCTCAATAGATCGAAATCGGTAAAGCGGAAAGGATGTGCGTGCAAGCGCATTACATGACTTATGTGTTATTTTGGAAATTTGTTTGAGGGCAGAGGGAGTTATCGCGCTTAGACTATTCTTCTTTGATAACTGGCATTTACCGCACATAGCAGTAAATGCAAATAATTGCACAATTAATACACTTGAAAAATTTTAAATAAAAATTCGAATAAATCAATTCAATAAAATGAAGTCCCTAAACTCAATCCTCTTTCTTATTACATTTGTACAGTGTTTCCATAAATATTATGTTAATGTAAATAAGTCCTTCAATAAACTTTAAAAGATACTGCACTTATCGTACATGAACTTTCGGATCATCGGGTTTTCTGCGTATGACTGACAGAATTAATCTTAGGAAAAACTTTCAGTGATCGTAGAAAAAATTGAACTTTGAATTAACTATGAAATTAACTATGAAAATGAAGCTCGCATTATTTTTTAACGGCATTTTACTATTATAATAAAACAAAAGAAGTTGTCTGATTCCACCGTGACCATACAAGACGAGTAAATATACAGAATCAAAATACTAACAATATTTTAAGAAGTCAATATTATCTTTGGCTACATGTATTTGGTTAGGTCTAGTTTATCTAATCTAAAGTAGTTACGGACCTTAAACATCCCGCCATTCAAAAATGCCTCATATGAGATTAAGTCTATAATTATTTTCAGGTTTTATTAATTCATTTGCTGACTTAAACCTATTTTAGATTATTGTTAGAAACAGTACACAACAAATTCCAATAGCAATGATTTGTAACCATTTAGTTGAAAAAGTCGCATTTCACTCTTTTAATATTTGTTTATTAATTTTTGTGTTTTGTATGATTGTAAAGAAAAAAAGATTTATTCATTCAATGTTTGTTAATTAATACGATGTTTTAAGTGTCTGATACATAAATGTTTACATGTACATAAGAAAGAGCTTATGCAGCGTAAACGTACATGTGCAGTTGTAGAAGATTCATCTTCTGTTGACATGGTTTACACGAATTACAATGCAGAGCGCTATTATATTAAAAATCATTTAGGTTTCTTCCCAGAAAATTAATTTTTCCTGATTATTTATTATTTAATTGCGATTTTTGGATACACCACAGATTGTAAGCTTTATACATCAGATACAAATATTTAATTTGTTTGCCTGAATTTCTTCGTGAAATAACTTGTAAATAAATTTATTAGGTACAAATGCATATTTTTATTCATTAATAATAATTTTATTAATAGATTTTCATAAATTTATAGTAGTACCCGTGAGAAACAGCACATATATGTAACGGATTTTTGTACAACCATTACAGTATGAATTTTATAATAACTCATTTAATTATTGTCTAAAAATAAATTAATGAACAACATTTTTATAGAATCACCACACACATAATTTAGATTTGATAATTTGCAATTATTTAAATTAAGGTATTACAGAAAGTAAACAAAATAATATTTTCGTCGTGTCAAAGTATGTACGGCATTTTGAAACATTATGGTTTTGTGTTTATCCTATTGTGAAGATCGTTTATCAGTTTTATCGTGTTTTGCTTTTATTGTGTTTTGCGTGTATCGTGTTTTGCGTTTATATTATTGTACGTTTTTCGTATCGTGCGTGTATCCTATCGTATCATGCATATATCCTATCGTATCGTGTATCCTGTAAAAAATAACGATGCGGGTACAGTACAGACAGACAAAAAGACAAACTGAAGGATGGACAGACGTAAATTACTGAAAGCCAGGGACAAATAAGTAATAAAAATATATTCTTAGGAGTAATTGATTGATTGATTGATTGATTGTGTACTGTTTAACGTCCCTCTCCAGAATATTTCACTGATATGGAGACGTCACCATTGCCGGTGAAGGGCTGCAAATTTAGGCCTATGCTCGGCACTTATGGCCTTTGAGCAGGGAGGGATCTTTATCGTGCCACACCTGCTGTGACACGGGGTCTCGGTTTATACGGTCTCATCCGAAGGACCGCCCCATTTAGTCACCTTTTACGACAAGCAAGGGCTAATGAGGACCTATTCTAACACGGATCCCCACGGGGTCTTAGGAGTAATTAAAACACATAAAAGATGAAGAAATGAGGATTACTGTAGATTGTTATTTAGTTTACTTAAAAAAAAAAGACATGTTTCATAGAAATCGGATATATAGCCATTTTTCACTGGATACTGGTTAAATAATACACCAAAAGCAAAGGGATTAGTAATTTTTAATTTAACATTTCAAATAATCATCTGTTTTTGTAAATTTAAAATAAACAATGCAGAAATATACACTTTACAGGTAATTTACATACATGTACTTGTTTTAGTAAAAAGAATGAAAAAATATAAGACCATTAAATGCTTGAAATATTATTTGATCTAATGTAAAATTGATGAATGAAGTTGAAAATTCTACATATCATTTTTTCACCTTACTTTCTGTAGTCGGGTGAGGAAAACATCAGCTATTTCGTACATTTTTTTTTTACATACTCCTCCTTCTTTTGACGAAACTTTATACAGCTGTATCCTTGCATGAAGGTCAAGTAGTTGATCATGTGATGTTATGTCAAGTAGGTGAAAGGAATACAATATTGTGAAATTTAACTTTTCCTGTTTTTATCTTGTTTAACAAAGAAGATTTTCAATGGAAAGACAATTCTTCGTGTATAATTTGTATGTGATTTTCCAATAGTGCTTGTAGACTGTGATTATCTTATCACTGCGCACATGAATTTCGATAAAAAAAAAAACTGAAAGCGTAAGCTTCTGTTTTTTTTTCTAATTTTTTTCTTTCTCAAGAAATGGATTTGCATTTGTCCCTTGCAAAAAAATATACTGTAAATTTTCATGAATTTATATTTACAGGATCATTCGGGTTTAAAAAAGTAGTTAGGCAAAAAGCACACAACAGTTCGTCAAAACATACAAAATGTGAAGTACCTCCTTGTCCCCTACTATAGAATGTTTTTATGCTCTCATAGGGGACAATGTCATGGAAGGTATCGTTTTCTAATCCATCATTCCTTAAACAATGCACATCACTGAACACAAATAAAAAACCTTCATATTCTCATTGTATTGTTTTATGTCAACAGCATATCCCATGTTCTGATCAGACATACTTTTGGGGTTTATAATTACAATTCAATAAACTGATATCTTCATAATGAAGGGAAGTCTGCTCATTGCCCGGAGCTCCTCCCTTACACCTGATTGGAATTTATGATCACACTTTCACGTTTTGTTACATTTCACATTTTGCAAATAGAAATGAAAAAAAAACTCTCAGTATATTGAACTGGGAGAGGAAGAGACCATGAAACATATGATTTCAATGCTCATAATAACTCTCGTTTAAAATCGGGGGATAACGGTCAAATAATCAAGTATTTAATGTTCAGAATAGAATGGAACTACATTTAATTTTTAAAGCCTCATCTTATTACCTTATAATGGACGCATAAAAATATTGATCAGCATCAGTTTTGTTTCAAATCTTTATTTTCAACTGTGAAAGAACTTGGGATAATTTTTTTATGTATATGGTATAAATATATCCAAAAGAAATGAAATAAATGTCTTAGTGTCCGGTAATCAATATTACTATAAAATAAAAAGACAACACTTGTTAAAACGTTATGTAAAGGATGCATGAACAATAATTACGATACCAATACTTCCATATAAAATTTAATAATTGAACTTTTGAAATGGAAAAATGAATTAAAGCAATATGAGCTGCATGTTTGGCCTCAGAAAGAAATGTTGCAAATTTTTAATTTACTATTTCAATGACAGAAAAAATAGAACATATATAAAAAAAATTGTTCATATTAGCTATGAAAGAACTTTTTATACGCGTTGATTGAAGCAAAATTGAATTATTGTCGTCCTAATAATGATTTAGCATAAAATCTATAATGATTTTTTATATGATACTGTATATTCGGTTGCACAGAAATATTTCTTCTGAAACATTTTTAAACTTTATTTTGATTGATCATAAGGCTTTAGATTACATACATATTAATCATAATAACAAATTTTACCTGAAAAATAAAATTCTCAAAAATGCAGCTCATATTGCTTTACTGTAATAATAACACAATTATTCAGTTGATAAAATGTGGAACTGATTTTTTCCGTAGATTTACAGCACACACATAAAAAATATATATGTTTGCACAGTGTACAATGTAAAATATTAAGCCATCAAAAAATAGTTCCATTTCTTGTTTAAATAACCGTTTATAAACTATAAAGATAAAAAATTAAATGTCACATTTCTATGCAAGATCGGAAGTGCTGTTTTGGTATTTTCGAAAACACATTATTACATGTTTCTCCTCTGGTTTGGTTGTTTGCATGTTATTAATATTAATCAATGTCGCTCTTTATATCTTTCGTTAAATTGCAGAAGTACATTCTGTCTACACAACCTCTTCAAACTTAGTATTATATTCCTTTAAATAAGTTATGTGTTGAACATGCTTTTTATCTACTTCAACTGTGAACTTTCAAAATTGTAGATTGCCTGAATATTTTGTCTAGTATATAAAAAGATCTCGTTTTTCTTTGGAAATTAAAATCTAATATAAAGGAATAAAAGTTCACTTACTACTCAGTACACTCTTACTAAAACAACCAACAAGGATTTGATTTTTCTAAGTTTAAAGAATCCAACTGATTAGACTATCAATGAACACTTCAACAACAGCTACATCAACTTTCATTTCAATAGATTACAGTCCCACAAAAGTTTGTTTTTCCAACTCTAATAAGTAAATATACGCAGAGAAACTCTAAAGCAACGTTATTCTGATAAAAAAAACTTATAAGTTTATGCATCATAACATTTCAGATCTGCTTCGAAGGCCCTCGGGCACGTAAAAGTCTGCATGTCCCTTACTGTCCTACTTGTGCTGCTGATCTCAGCTCTTATGCTACATGCTCGACATATTCGAGGATGAACATATAGTTTTTGATGTAGACGTATGTGTACGAGGTCACATCCTAATTCTACCCAACAAGGATTTGATTTTTCTAAGAAATCTGTGAAGCGGGTTTGTTTTTCCAACTCTAATAAGTAAATATACGCAGAGAAACTCTCCTTTTTGCCATAACATTTCAGATCTGCTTCGAAGGCCCTCGGGCACGTAAAAGTCTGCATGTCCCTTACTGTCCTACATGTGCTGCTGATCTCAGCTCTTATGCTACATGCTCGACATATTCGAGGATGAACATATAGTTTTGGATGTAGACGAATGTGTACGAGGTCACATCCTAATTCTACCACTAAGAAATCTGTGAAGCGGGGATGTCCTTTTTCCAGTGATGGTACAACCAGAGCTCATTAACTCCCATTTACGCACAACGTTAAAAGTAGGTAAACCTTGTGAGGGAGTTGTTGTTTTTTTCTTTCATGTAAATTATAGATGTAAATATGATACTTGTATATTTTTGTTTTGTTAGTTTGCAGTGATCGCAAATGTAATCTGATATTAAATAGAATTGATATTTTGATTTTTGGTTGGTACTGCTAGATGTTTAATACGACCGAAGACATCTCAAAATATGAATTTCGTTCTTAATAGTTCAGAACTGAACTATTTTTTTTTTATTATAGGCATGCTTTTTAATCTAAGAGACGAGAAACAGAATTTACTACTTTAATGTCGTTCTTCGCTCACTAAGCTTAAAGCAAAAATGTAGAGTGTAGTTTCTCTACCTATAACCGATGTAAATCATGTGTCATTAGTTCAGTAAAATCCGATAATATTCTATAATATAACAAAGTCAATATGAACGGTAAATTATTATGAAACGTCACAGGTCTCTTTAACTTTATGCCTTACCTCAAACGCATCACATGTATATTAACTTCATAGACATGAATTCCAACTTATATTTCACAGAAAAATAAAAAAAAAATACTTTAAAATTTGATTTTGGTATCCACCGATAAGATTAAGCTCCATAAATAACTCTTACATTTGACAATTTTTCTCTTTCTCTTAATCAAAACATCCATTTTTGTTGCTATGCAACCGATTGTAAATATTAAAAAACATACGTTTTTTGAATTTAAATTCCAAAAAGGATATTCCTCTGCCTTTATGTAAAATATACCATACTCTTGTATCATGCCAGAAGTTTGAGATATATGGCCTTGAAAATTGCGCAAATTAACAAAACTGATGAAACAGAAAAAAAGCAAAACATGCAATCTTACATCACCCGTAAAAGGAATATCTTAAAATAAAAATTCTATGTTTTACATGGTTTTATCACTTGAAATGTTTACCTTTATGAGGCCCTCTGGAAGTATTCACATGCAATTTCAAGCCTCTAAATCTAGTGATATATTAAATTCTGTCCATCCACATGGAAAATTGACTGATTGCTAGGGAAAATTTCTTGGGCCATGTACCATAGTAACCAGAACCCAAAAAGATTTTCATTTTACATACGTGGTAAATAGTGCAAGAGAAACCTATGTGTAAAAAATCATCGAATTCTGAGAACCCTCATGATTCACCTTTTGTCTGATTCTTACAGAGACCTGTACTTAAATCCCATTGAATTGAAACATTTATTTAAGAAATGTTTTCTTTAGTTTTGTGTTCACGAGTTATTGGTGAATCACACAGCTTTGTCACGTAGGCATATTTCATGAAGCAGGCTAGCATGATTGGATACACCACAAATATACTCAATATTTACATTTCTCGCTGCCCTATATCGTTATGCTTTTAATATGTACATTTGCAAATGTTTTCCTTTATATAACAGTACCTAAATCAATGTGTATATATAACAGTATAATACTGGTATAAGGTCAAGAGATCATACATATACGAGGGTTGTCCCGTAAAATCGTGGACAAAGCGTTTTTCTCGAAAAATAACGGGCGTATTAAGCTGAAATTTTCAGTGAATGTTTATTTATCATATTTAAGTTAATTATAATGTTTTGGATAAAATATACACAAAAATATAGATTTTATAATGCTTGAATGTGCACAGGGTAAGGCCCTACGGCGCACGGTCAAAAAACGAAGGTTTTATGAGAGAATACAGGAATATTGATTTGAAACAAAAGATTTAAATAGATAAGATTAGGATAAAAATTATCCTTATTCAATTCCACAATTTATTCTGTTTTCTTCTTAAAATTTTCAATGCATTTGGTCAATTTTTGACAGTTTCCTGAGAATTTGAAATGGGAAAGTGGTAAACACAACACACGAAAAATGGTGACGTTCGGTGACGTTACGGCGCACCGGAGATTAGTTCGCTATAATTTAGATGGTGTAATAACGCCGTATAGAACTTTTAATGAATACATAGGAAAAAAAATCCCCCAAAATTTCCAGATCTTTAGTATATAAATGAAAGGGGGGTTTTCTGAATAAAGTTTTTCTTGATCGAGTCCCGAGGTAGTACAAGACATACAGACACACTAAAATTGTAATAGCTAAAGACGCTGTCAATGTTGACCGTTGACCAATGTTGACAATATAGTTGAATGATGTTGGAATACTGTCCGTATCTAACTAATAAATCATCAGAAGATCGTACATTTGTGCCAGATTTGTTCCTCAATTGTTTATGGAGACTTAAGCATGTGCTTCAATGAAATTTCGAAATTTAAAAGGGACTTATCCAACTTTATTTTTTGAGCGCAAAGAGGAAACTTGAAGTATCTGACGCTGTTTTAGGCACTTTGACGTTATCATCCGTGCGCCGTAAGACGATACAATACATAATATAAAATCTCATAATTCGTTTATTTATGCATATATCCATTTGAAATTTTCTATATTTATTAAGAAAATATGTACTAAGAAGTAGTGAAAATTTCAGAACGCAGTAACGATTATTATTCATGCGAGACAACTTGTCCATGATTTTTCGGGACAATCCTCGTAGATGTGCGTATGGATAGACATTCGACGTAATTTTGCAGTGACGTAATGAAGGGTCGACGCGCGTTCAGTGGATTATATACATGCCCTTAGGTTTGAAAAATAACGCATTTAACACGTTAAAAGACTTTTTAGCGATATTTGGGCCGCAGTCGAAAACGTGAAAGGGCTGAGCAAGACTCCCCCTCTATCACGTTTTCTTACCCACGCCCAAATATCGCTTATATTTTAAGTTGGTAACTATGCATTTTATACATACCGAAACAAGCTAAAATATAACTACGCCGCTCTGAAACTCACCTTCATTTTTAACGAAAAGTTACTAGAACCCTTTGACGCATCGCAATCTGACGAAACAATCAGCAATTTTGTGAGGTAAATCAGGCTATTGTGACATATATAGATTCATCTCAAAAGTTTTCGTTTAACGAACGAAAACGTTTGCGAGGAAATGCATTCGGAGGTGAAATATGACGGAAGGGAGATATGAAGTTTTATAGTCCCGTTGCCTGATCATCTTAAACCAATTAGATAATGCGTTAAATAATTATAATGAGGTATGTGTTGACGGTGCAACCGTCATATATGGCAAACGCAAATACATATTCAGTTTTAATTAAGATTGGGATCGATCGTCAAAATGCACATGACATTTGTGCAACAAGACTCTGAGGTCAGTTGATGTCGCATTTAAAATGCATTACCAAACCAAAGCCTAGACATTCTTGACTTCAATAAAGAATCTTTAATTTATACTATTTATATGCAATATATCCATTAAATCAGGGCGAGAAAAAATATTACATTCAATTCTTAAGTCTTATTCTAATGCAACTGTTTTGTAAAATATGTTCTGATTGGCTAATGCACTGATGATTGAAGCAGTAAAAACGCGTGGCCGGGTAAACTCAATATGCGACTGTGAAATCAGCATTACCGGTCGCAAATACCAGATTAGAAGATATATATTCCCTAATTTTGTTGAGTTTTATTGCATAGAATACGCCGTGGAGCCTTGTGTTTTTGCGTCGCTCTATTGTGACGTCACAATAAGATTCTTTCACTCTCTTTACTGCCTCAAACTTAGTAAACTTGCCAATCAAAATGTGTTTTCCTAAACAATTGCATTGGATTTAGGAAATAACTATCTTCAAATTTGGTATTTACGACGCATCATCGGTAAAACTCAGTTTACGAGCGTTAAGGAGGCTCGGGGTCAACAAATTATTATTTTTATTAACCTCCAAATATGACTTACATTTGGGATGTGATACCTTAAGTTGTCAACTATCATTTGGCAAAGAAAGATTTCATAAAATTTTAGTTTTTAATTTGATCATTTTGTTATATATTTATATGAAGCTCTTTTTTCTAAAGGAGATCAAAATAGTCTAAAAATGGCCACAACCACCCAGCCCCTTTAAATCAGCATAAATGGGCTCTCAGTAATACCAAATTAGAAGATAGTTATACCCTACATTTACTATAATTTGAAATCAAGATACTTCACTTATATCTATTCTATATATTTTTGGAAACAGATAATTTCCGATCGAAGATGATGTTTGCTTACTGGATGATATATGTCTGGTGTTTCCTGTCCACATACTTCACCAATTTGAAATGTGTAAGATACAGATTTAAAAAAGCAAATATAAGTAACACAGAAAGTGACAACTTCTCTAACCACACTGATATTAAAATGTAAATCACAGAACCAACGAAACATAACTTGAGGATATATCAGTGCCAGAATAAATTTCCCTGGCTATACTATATACACATAAAATCTCGTAAGAAACTGTTTCAAACGTATAGTTTACTATGAAACTCTCCTCCAAAAGCATTTTGTTGAGATTTAAAAGTTTTAAATTGCTTGAATTTGCAGTAAAAGGATGCAATATTTGGAAATAACATGTGAATGTACAAGAAGTAGATCCATAAATGTCAAACATGTATATGCATCAATGGAGAACATAAAACATAACAATCTAAAATCCATAGTAAAACTTTCTTAATAAGCTATATAAATTAAGAATTTTATTTATATGATATCGCATAATCTATAATTATTCAGATGGTTTTACCGGAGTATCCCCTCCCCGTATATGAAGTTGAATCCTGTCCGCTCAACGTCACAGCTGTGGAAAAAGCTGCGTTCAGACTGAACTGCAGTCAAGGAGATGGCGCATTCGAAAACTTATACCATTGCCTGCCCAACAGAAATCTTTCTCGGCTTGTAGAATTTTGTTATGACCGAGTTCGAGGATTTGTGGAAGGAGGTGTGTATATGTTTGTTTTTTCTTGAAGATTTACAATTATATCTGCACTAGAAACTTAAAGATCCATTTGTAGTAAATTTGTGGAACAATAAACTTTATAGCTGCCTGTAGTATTACATTTTTCTGAAAATATTTTATTCTATCGAAGAACTTTGAGCTTAAAGGTACTTGGACAAAGATTTGAAGTTAATCTTTTATCTATAATATTACGACTTATATATTTTAGTAGCATTAATTAATGTTACTAAAATTAATTAAAAATCGTACTTCATTTAAAAGTTATTAAAACCTAAATTTTTTTGTTGGGTTTGATTGACAAATCCTTGCACTTTCACAAATTTTAATTTTATTCTTAATACTTAGGAAAATTGGCAATCTTGTCCATGTGGAAATACATTTTGTTCTAACATATGCATCCGCAACAAAGTGTGTTTTAAAGATATGGGTAGTAATGAAAATCGGGGTCGGGTCGGGAAGTTCGGAACTGAAAACCATTTTATTTATTTATTTATTTATTTCTTTTTTTGGAAAATTACTGAAATATACGAATGTATTCGTCACGTAACTTACTTATATAATTCATATTCTATACTTGATAATATGCTGAGCTTCAACATGAACTTGGTTTTAGTTTAGAATTCTCCGGCCAGGTCTGGTTTTGTTACACAGTTTTATAGTTGCATTCCCTACAGTTTACACAATCTACCCAAGTGCAGAAATCTGCTCATGGATTGAAAATTCCGCCATTAATAAAATACACGCAGAATAAATATTTTTTTTTTTCTCTAAGAGGAAATTATAAGATAATAAACGATAGACATGAACTTAATGATACAATTGTCGATGTAGCATAATCAATTCATCTGTGAAAAGATATCAATCTAAGAATAACCTAGATATTCTCTGTTATCAAACATGTAAAAAGACTAAGGAGGGAGGGAGCCTAAGAATTTTAATAATTTTTATTAGCATTTCGGGTGGGGGGAGTTATTTTCTAAAAATATTATTACCTTAATTTTTTTTCCTTAAAGTATGACATACTATACAATTACGGACTCTTTTGGTGTTGAATATGGTTTGTTATTCACCAGAAAAATATTCATATTGACCGAGGCGAAGCCGAGGTCAATATGAATATTTTTCTGGTGAATAACAAACCATATTCAACACCAAAAGAGTCCATAATTGTTTTATTATTATAGTCGGGATTTGAATTAATAAGACATTGAAAGCTGTATATGACGACACCATTTTCATTTGCGATCTTCAATTGTTAGAATAAAAAAGTCTCCAGATTACTGTTTTTAACCTCGGAATGAGCCGCATTTTACTTTCCCAGTTTCGCTATATGGAAGACGTCCAAATGTTTAAAAAATAATCCTGAAATAGGTTTGAATAATTGTTTCTCTGCTCAGATACGTAGCTCGCTGCGGCTATTGCAACCACTGTTTACAACGTTGTTTGATGTTTTGATTGTGACGTCACAATGTTGTTGCACGCACATTGATCCTCCGATGAATACGGCCTAAAATCCGGTGAATATGTAGTGTTATGTAGTGTATATGTACATATCTGAGCAGAAAAACAATTATTCAAACCTATTTCAGGATTTCTTTTTAACATCTGGACGTCTTACACATAGCGAAACTCGGAAAGGAAAACACGGAGGTTACAAACAGTAATCTGGAGATATTTTTTTATTTTCAACAATGGAAGATCGCAAGTGAAAATTGTGTCGTCATACATTCTTATAATATAATATAATAAAACAATTATGGACTCTTCTGGTGTTGAATATGGTTTGCTGTTCACCAGAAAAAATATCCATATTGACTTCGGCTTCGCCTCGGTCAATATGAATATTTTTCTGGTAAATAACAAACCGTATTCAACACCAGTCCATAATTGTAAAACATTAAAAAGAAAGGCTTGTAAATCATGAATCTGTTGACAGTTGAAAGAAAAGGATTGATAAACGCATAACAACCATATAGTAAAAGAATGGTATCCTTAAATACATGTAAAGGTAATGATAAATTGAAAACTATAATTTATGAATTTACGTTTTTACCTAAATTTTATCGGAGGATAAGTTCTTGTAACGTTTAATGTTTTCTTAGCGATTTTTTCACTCTTTTATCAGAAAGAAATTAAAAAATGATATTTACTTTTGTCTCTGCCTCTGTAAATAAGAAGTTAAATTATGTCATTGATTTTTATATTCAATTTTGTAAGAGCTTCTAAATAAAAAATGGTCGCAAAACGTCGATATTTTTCTCCCATTTCCACAAGAGAAAACAGTCTTAACACAAGCGACAATGATATTTCGGAGACATGTAAATGAGAATAAAATAATAAATAAATAAGATTAATTTATACTAGAACTTTTAAATTAAGAAAGCACATAATTTACCAACGACTCGTACAATGAAAATACTGTCCCGCACAATGATATATACAGTAAATATTGAACAACGAATACAGTGGTATTTTGATTTAATCAGAAATATTAAGGATAATCTAATTAAAGTTAGGAATAAATTACGTTTGAATACCCTACACTTTTATTTCTAATTATTTGATACAATTATTACCGAATATGAGATGAGTTGCTTAGTTTGGTTTCTTAATACCCATAGGCAGGGTAGGGGAACAAAAAATGCATTTCAACTGATCAGTAATATTCAGCAATAATCAGTAGTGCCCCACCACACATGAATCCCTGATTCTTAGGCCTAGATCAACACATTGCACAATTTTTGATTAAGCACCCTTACTTTTCAAAAATATTTGATTAATACCAATGAGCAGATTTCAAAAAAATCATTCATATTCAGAATATAAGTACAGCCCTCCCCCTCAATAATACCCCTGACCCTGGGGACTTAAAATTCACAATTCTGGAAGATTAGGGCCCTTGCTCATAACTATATAGGTAGTTCATCTGCTTAATACCTAGGAGCAGAGATGAAAATGTTAATGTTTTTTTACTACATAATCAATAGAGCCCCGCTCTAACACCAGAACCCCTGACCCTGGGGCCATAAAATTCAAAATTTTGAAAGAGGCATTTATGCTTGTAAAGTTATAACCAACCAATATGGCGTTCAATACTTTATCTAAAGAAAGATCAAGGCCGCTTACAACATATACAAAACTTGCAGTGCTTATATCATTGAAAATGCACAAAATTAAATGTGATAACATTACATCTCCCCTTTTTAAAGATTTTTTTTTCTTTCTGAAAATCATAAGAACTGAAGCATGAATTAAAGTCAATTCACTAGAACATTGAATCAAGTAATTAACAGTTTATGAACAAATAAAGTCCTCAAGATATTTAGGTCGTCTCACTGTACGCTGTGGTCTCGGTTCTTGACGCGGAGCGGTCAACGAATCTAATTGAATCCAACATCACATGTGTCAACAACCGATGGCAACATTATTTGGTTTCATAAAGCTTGTTATCTCCTGTGCGCACTACATATATTTCCTAAAATGTTTTGAATCCTCACGTATTATTTCACCTCTGTTGATTTTAATGCATATAATAGTGTTTTTGTTTCTCTTGGCGTGCGACATGTTTCGGCTTGCAGGATTCAACAACTTTAGGATTCATCATGTCAGATGTTATTGGTATCCTAGTACGCAACTGTCTATTCATGAGTAGCTGGGATGGCGAAAGTCCTACTCCATCAATCGGTGATGCTCCGTAGTTCATCAGACTTGTATAGATGTCAGATCCAGATTCATCAGCTTTTCTGAGCAGATTCTTTACAGTCTGAACACACCTCTCCGCCTGTCCATTTGATTGTGGGTATCTGGGACTTGAGGTGGTATGAATGAAATCCCAATCAGTAGCGAACTTCTTGAATGCGTAAAGATTTTTCCGTGAATAGTTTTATATTTAAATGCAGTGATTGTTTGTGAACTGGATGTTGTAGGCATTCGGACTATTTCCGGATATTTGGAATAGTAATCGACACACAAAAGGTTTGAACCTTTGATGAAACATAGAACAGTTCATTTGTTCCTGTAGACACACTGGTCAAAAAGTTTTCAATATCCTGGCAACAGAATGGCTGTTATTTCATCTCGGATAAAATATCAGCTGCTTGGACGCGAGGGAATCTCCTGAGGAATCAATGGTTCCTTACAATTAGAATTCCTGTAGTCCAATAAAGTTTTCCTTTCCAAAAATAAATTTCATCTCGCAGTGCGACCTCTTTGATGTTGCAGTTTTTCAACACAGGAAGTTGTGCAAAATTTACATTATCTCATCATCAACGAGAACCTCGGGAGTCTCTTTCAGGTAAGACCGAGCATCTCAGATATGCATCTCTTTACCTGGTACATACACTAGCTTGAGATCGTAGCGCTGTAGGTTCATAAGCATTCGCTGAAGTCTCGGAGTCGCTCGGTAAAGTGGCTTGTTGTAGATTGCGACGAGGGGTTTATGGTCTGTTTCCACCGTCACACTTCGCCCATAAATGTAGTGATGAAACTTCTCGCATCCATATACTATCGCTAACATCTCACGATCAATCTGAGCATATCGCTTCTGTGTCTCTGTTAGCGCACGCGATCCATATGCTACAGGATGCCCATCCTATATTAGACCTTTCGAGCTTGCGTCGCCTAAAATGGTTACTGCCTTGCGTACGTCGTATTACTTAGTACCGGTGAGCTGGAAACTAACTGTTTCAAAGCTCTCCTGCTGAGGCGAATCCCAGTGCCATTCTACATAACAAAGTGGAGCTATCACTAACAAGTTAAAAATACAACAACACCTAACACCCGTTTCACTCCTGATACATCTGTTGGTGAAGGCATATCCACTATCGCTTTTCACTACTTTGATACCACTGTCCGTAATCAAGTGTCATACCTCACAAATGTAATTTAACTTAAAGTTCATTTCATTGTAACATCTGTTGTACACGGGAATCATGTCAATGGTCTCAACACTAAGATGTCGTCGACAATGCATTCCACGCCCT